CCTACACTATCATATATTTCAAATTTATTTTACAGTCAAATATTGTTTATTCTCATAATGTATTTATTAATCACTTGTTGTTGTTATTTATGAATACTTTAAATCTAGTCAATTTCGTTTTCTTTTTCTTTTTTGTGTTTTATTTTTCTTTTGATCTATTATATAAAATCGTCAACATCAAAATTTTATTTTATTTAACACCTATATAATTATATTTTTGTTGTTGTTGTGTTATTTAAACGAATAAAAACGAAATGTATATGTTTATTTGTTGTAAAAAAAAAATGCTTTTTTTTTTCATTAATGATCGATACTTATAATGATATGAAAGAAACAGAAAAATCTCAAAATTATATCTCGTCACACTCGAATACTTTTTCTCTTTTTTTTTCTCATTTATAGACGTGGGTACTTTATTTTTACATATAGGTTTTTTTTTGTCCTTGTCACCAATAAATAAATATTTTTTTAATATCATCTGTTCAAGGATATAACTAGTTAATGTTACCATGAAATCGAAAATGCAAGTTTTTTTCTAATGAGAAATAATAGATACTATTTGAATTTCTTAGTTATCTTATATTGAAATATAATTTCCAGACGTTTGCAAATTTAATATTAATATAATATCATTCAAACGAAAGCATTGCACGAATAAAACTAATAAGACAAAATAAAACATTTTGAAACTTTTCATCTACTATTCTCGAGAGAATCGGAATTTCGTCATGCAAATACTCAATAATAATAATAGATCGTTTTTTTATATTATAGTTGACATGAAACCACGAGAATCTTATTTGAGAAAAGAGAAAATTATTGTATTACTACATATATACAGAGAATATCAATAATTTTAAATTCTGTTTGCCAGACATATAAAAGTGAAGTTCTTAAAAAATAATGAATTCTTATTTTTTGTTTATTTCAGCAAAGGTAAAAGAAAACGGCTCAAGGAAAAGAGTTGTAAATAAAAAGAATGTTTATCAAAAGAATAATGTAAAAAATAAGAATAAAACTTATCGTACAACTCATTCAGACTTTGTTTCTAATAATAACTTATGTGAACATGAGCCTAGACATTGAAAAAAAACAAGTAGACCAGTATACATCATAAACACATCCTTTTTGCAATTATATCACGATTTCATTATTTTAATGAAGAATTAGTATAGAAACACAAACAAAATGGATAACTAATAACGTCAAAACATTTCATGTATATCAGTATAGTCATACAAACAACAATCGTTTATAGACTTGATAATACATTCTTCAATGCATAGTATTCTTTAATATCATTGAATTTACGCGTTGAAGGATATATTTATTCTATTAATATATTTTACAAATTTATCTTATTGTCATCATTGATGAGTACAGATTCACACGACTTTATACATTAATCATCAAAAAAATCAGTGACTGAATATAAAGTTAGACTCAAGGCTTGTCTGCAATGGAAAAAAAAATAGTTTGTTATTGAAAATTTTTTATTTTATTAAAAACTTTTGAATCATTTTAAGTAATTTCACAATCGTCTATACAAAAAGAAATTGTTAATAATTGGTGTTATGTTTTCAATTAAAATAAGATAAACGAAACTATTGTCGACGATTTCTGATTCAAATTATTAAATATTGGTGGTCTAAATATTATTTCTTTCGCTATAATAACTTTCAAAAAAAAAAAAGAAAAGAAGAGATAATATATGAACTAAGCATGAATACACTATTCTATGATTGCTCGAATTCTCTAACTATTTCTTTGCTTCCCTCCTCTCAGTTACGTACATAATATGAATGTCTTTTTACACTAAATCAAAAAAATTATGAGAAAGCAGTAAAATGACAATCATTATGTGTAGTAGATATATGGTAAGAAAGAAAGAAATAGCAAGATTAGACGAATATCAGATAGATGTAGATATTCACACATACACACACACAATGCATCAAAAAATAAGCGTGGAAATGAAATCTGCGCAAAATAGTGTTGAAAAAATCCGTATTTGTTTGTAATTTATGAGAAATAGAGAGATTGTAAACTCTCAAACAAAAGACCAATAGTTCAAATTTTTTAAAAGAGAGGTAAACCACCACCTAGCCCACCAAGTCCACCTAGACCACCAAGTCCACCTAGACCACCCATGCCACCTAGACCACCAAGTCCACCTAGACCACC